TCATAGCAGACTAACAAGATGGGTGGATAGGCTACTACCATTAACTTTACAATCAAACACCTCGCCGGAAAAAATATGGGTTTTACTGATTTAATTTCAAGAAATCCATCCGGAAAAGCGTTACCAATATCATGAAGAAGAATTTGTAGTAGCGAATATTAATAAAAATAGTAAATCAATCAATCCGTCGGAGAACGAAAGAAAGACATTGGTTCAAGTTTGGAAATTTCCGGTTACGCAAAATTACGTAATTAACTTATAGCATCAGTACTAAAACTGATTAACTTTTTTTTTCCAATTTGTTCATCTTATCACTTCAGAACTGAATTTTGTACATCAAATTGCTTTCCTACGGATTATTCCAACACAAATTCTTTAATTATTTCCATTTCTAACCCCCCATTTTTTTTTATTTCTAATTCCTAATTGTAGATTAAATAATTCATTTGTAGATAAAAAAATGGTAGATACTGTTAATATGGAAAATAATAAAATTGTAAGGAATCCGTCTACATCTGGTATATCAATATCTTTAGATTTACTTTTATTGAAAGATCATCAGAATCTTGTAAATAAATAACGCCAAAATTTGATGTCGCCCGATCGTCCCTTGGATTTAAATACTCTTTTTAACGCCAGGCTTGTAGCTATTCTAACTGAAGACGACCCTATGTTGAGCCTTATTGTAGTAGCACTTCAAAATAAAGTTGAGACGATTAATGCGAACTTCTCTTATTTCAAACACTTTACCAGAGACTTACACGAATCTGACGGACTATTGTTCATGGATGGCATACTTCTTATACCGTTTACCCTGAGTAACGCGATGATGAAGACTCTCCATGAAACCCATCTTGGCCAATTTGTAATGAAGTATTTGGCCCTATACATCTGGTGGCCCCATATTAACAAGCAAATTTACTTCCACTGCATAAACTGCTCAGAATGTACTATTACGGGTAAGAATTTGAAAAGTATAATTCCAAGTTCGCAGTTCAGTGAACTTCCGCCCCTACTAGAACCAAACGCAGAACTCAATTTAGATTTTGCTTAGCCATTAGATTCATATTGGGGGTCAAACAAATACATTTTACTTTGAATTGATCGATTTTCAAAACTTCGTTCGGCAAAAATTACCTCTTCAACCTCTTCAAAAACAGTTATCGAAGTTCTACAAGATTATATATTTTTACATGGCATTCCCTATTCAATTAGTGTCGACCATGCATCTTATTATACAAGTCAAGACTTTAAATTATTCTGCGACTCAAATAAAATTAAAATTAATTTTTGTACAGTAGGAGACCATCACTCCAACGGATTAGTTGAAAAACTTGTACATACTGTAAAAATTAAATTGTTAGCCATGCCCCAAGAAACACAAAAATATACATTACAAAACGATGTATCAAAAATTATCTGGAACTTACGATCCTCCTACCATTCAAAAATTAAATGCTCTCCCTTTGAAATTCATTTTAATAGAAAACCAAGTACAAATTAGAAACAACTGGCATCGGGTAAACCATCCATTGGAATTTTAGACAAAGGGAAATCCATACTAACTAAGGAAAGAGCGAAGAATTGGAATGCCGATGACAGAGTCGAAGACGGGTACGTGAACACCTTGATTCCAAAGAAGAATCTATCACCAACAGAGAAGGGTTACGACACGGATTACGCCTCCACCTCGAAAACTGCCATTACTAGAATACCACTGCAGAATCCGTTTAGAAATAAAATCTTACGGAAAACGAACGGGAGCATCAACGGAGACCTAATTTATAGGGAATTAAACAAAAAGATCATAAATTCGTCTACTTCGACAGTAGAACTATCCGACGGAAAAAAAATTGCTATACCTAAATCAAAATCGACTAACATTCGATCTTTTAAAGGCATTATTTCTTTCCCTTACTTTCCTAACCCTAATGTTGAGTAGGTCGGAAACGCGAGAACTCAAGACGAAAAATCAAAACCCGAAAGCCACAACTCAGGACCCGACATCAGATTGAACTAGGATCATCGGACAACATGACAAAGACATGTGTGTCGAAGCCCTCTTCAAAAGCTATTCGGAGACAACCACCCGGTCTAAAAAAACAACAAAACCTCCAGGTTACTTTGCTTCAGACGAATCTATGTTGATTCCCTCGGATATTTCGGATACTTGTGACTGGGAATGGATAGCGGGAGGTTTCCGATTTAGAGATGTAGCCAGAGAACGATTTATTTCCGACTCAATAAAAACTTCGAACCAGGAGCATACCCGTAGTTTTTGCGAACCCAACAATAACATTATATTTGAGATTTTAGAGGACATCACTAACCCAGAAAACGATCAACAAACACAATGCCCAATAAGCATCATTCCGGCGGAGACAGATCCGGTACCGCAGGGTCGGGAGTCATCCACGTCAGCCGAGGCCGCCACGATCGCAAAGGTGCTCGACTCACAGAACAGCTCGACTGCTCCGATGGAAGAAGATGCCACAGCAAACTTCGCGGTCTACGAAATTGTAGATTCTTCTGACGAGACCGCTCCCGCAACCGGGCTCCAAACTAATCCTGGTAACGTTTCTCCTATTATTGGCCGGTCTAGTAGAAATGTAGGTCCACCAAAGTTCTACGGCAAAAGATTCTTTATAGATGTTGTAGATCTAGCTCAATCGTCCTCTGGTTCGGCATCAAACCCGATCATCCTAGAAAACGGCCATAGCGATAAATGGGACCACATTAACAGCGAAACTCCTTTGGAAATCGTCACGATCGATTCGGAATCCTCCACACCTGAACAAATCTCTTCCTCATCAACAGACGAATCCCTAAGAATGGCGACTGATAATTTTGAAGAACAATCAGAACTTGATAGTGAACTTTTTAACTTAGAATTAGAAAACTTTTCAAACTGTTGTCGTAAGTGTAAATGATTATGCTTGGTCCATATTTGGCTTTGGTGCTGTTTCAATCTCATCTATTCTGCACACTAACCCTTCGGATTAAATTAAACTTTCTTATGTATGTACCGTACGTCGCCGTACTCCTCTCTCATGCAGAAATTGTTTTGCCCTAGAATGCGTTCATCATCTGGTCAACATAAACCTATGATGATTTATTTTCCTACCCCCTTATTGAACTATATCCGCCGGATATTAGACGTATTACTTTTGGATACTGATTTTGCAATTCACATAAAGATCCATTAATCGTATGAAGCCAGTTTCGTTAGTTTAGTTACAGTACACTATCGGTGTAGTAAATTAAAATTTTATTCCCCAAAAGAGGGAGAAAGGATGCAGTTAGTTAGTAATTAGTTAATTGTACAATTTAAAATTTTTCATGCTTAGAGGAATGATGTGATTCTCACTTTATATTTGCTTTTACTGCAACTATTACGTAATTTGCTAACAGGCCAATTACTTATGACCTTCACTTTGACATTCTCTCCGGCGGCAATCTCCACTCTCACCCATTCTCGTGTGGGGATGAGGGATAGCTCAATAGGTACTTGAGTGATGTTAAAATCATAAACCAGATTCTCCTATCAAACTTGAACGCCAAAGTTTTCAATATAAAAGCTCAAACTTTAACTTCAGAGTGAAAAAAGAATCAAAAAAACTGATGCACATAAAGCGACTTTTTTCTGTTCTAAATGAAAAAAAAACTGCTATTGCGTGCCATGTTAATTTTTTGGTATTAAGATACAATGCTAGAGCACCCAACCTGTTAATTTGCCTTACTCGATGTGAGACAATGGTGGCCCAAACAAAAATTTGCATTATATATTTTCTTATAAATTTCGATTTTTATTGTTTTTCAAAATACTCGATACACTTATAAAATGAACTTCAGTCCGTCAATCATCTACATACTTTTGTTGATGTTTTTTTTTGTAGCGCCTTGCCGTTGTTGCTTGGGGGAGGAGATAGCTCAATTGGACATTACGGGAAGAGGTTGCTCAACTGATTTTTGATTCACTTTAAAGATGTAATTTTAGATTCAGATTATCAAAAAATAAATTTTCTTGCAACATTGTTACCATTTTTTGTTCAAACTAAACCCCATTTCAGAGAAACTCACATTGAACCAGGGAACTCAGTTAAAAAATTCGTTTATCAGTTCATTTAAAATTAGCGCTGTAGGAGCTTGAGCTTGTTAGAAAACAAAAAGCAGTAAAAAAAATTGGTGAAAAAAAATGCGTAAAAAGTCTTCTTTCGTGAAATTTTTTATCGGAAAATTTTTGCTGGCATTACTAACATTTGACTTCAATTGATTAAAGATAAAAAATGCAGGAGAGTTCAAAAAATAGTTTTTTCTAAAAAAAAAGCTCTATTAAGCTTTTAAATGATACCAGAAAACTACTTATTGGAGTTTCTCAGCGACAATTTGGTAATCAAAAATTGAAAAAAAAGTTCTGAAAAAAAATGGAAAAAATTTTGAAAATTTGATTTAAATTCTTCTTTTTACAATTTTATTTTCGTTTTTGTATTTTTCTACAAAAACATTTTTTCAATTGGCTTATTTTACCTAAGTTCAAACATGCCTAATTTCAGTTTTCAGTTTTTATCAATTTATCACACCGCGCAGAAAAAAACGACATTAATTTGAAAAAAAAATTGAAAAAAAAAATTATGGTTAGAACATTCTGTCTACTTGCACAGTAACAGGCTATCCTTGCTTTTATATTCAGCTGATTATTAGGCATCTTTCTCAATTATTTTGCTATCAAATTATTCACCTACAAAGGAATTTAATATTTAGATTCCCCGCTATTTTTTTAATCCAAACTCTAAATTTCCCAGCTGAACTTCTGATGCATACAAATTGAATTTGTGCGAAAAATTGCCCGCTAAATATGCAAATTGTCGAGCAAACTTTTAATATAACAAACGATGTTTTGGATTGCCGAAAAATAAAAGTCGCTTCTAGCAACACTTTGTTATGGACTAGAATTTTCCCACAATTTTGAAAAACTTGGTTGTTGAAAAGATTCGTTTCAGCTGGTTGAAGAGGGAAAAAAAGAATCGGGGATTGCATCAGCCTTGCAGAAGTACCTGGACAGAACACAGGAGTTGGGACTTGCAATGGTGGACAAAATGTGTGAGGTGGTCAAGGCCAGGAATCTAGTGTCGTGAAAAAAACATCCATAGACTCGATAAACGAGAAACAACCTCACGCTAATATTCTTTCGAGCGCTCATAAACCTCATTTATGGATTGGACTTTTTATTTCGACGAGTTCATTACCTTCGCATTACATCCTTAATTTTTAATCATTTTTTCCTTTAAAGAATATCATTCCGACATATCGTTGAAAATAAAATATATTCCTTGAACAATTTTGGCTTTTCAAATGTTAAATTTTACTTGTTTGTAGGATAGCTTATTCCGATGGAAAAAATGTTCGAGAAATTTTTTAGTCAAATAGTAGTCGCTCACTTATTTAGATCTGTTCATCCTAAAAACGCATTGTCAAATTCATAAATTTGTTTTTCTTCTAGTTTTTTTCCGTTTGAAAAAAGAAGAAGTTGGGAGATAGAGAGTCTAGGATTAACATAGAGAATCATTTTCAAAATGAACAGATCTAAAAGTGAGCGACTACTACTTGACTAAAAAACTTCTCGAACATTTTTTCCATCGGAAAAAGCTATCCCACCCTTTTGTAAAATTTAACTTTTTAAAAGCAAAATAGAGTAATCTAGGAACAAAAGCATGCATATGATGGAATCCGTTTAATTTAAGGTTTGGTTTTATTTAGTTCGCCCCTACATGTTAGTTCGTATCAGTGGCATTTTATATAGGTTTCAGTTGCTAAGCCTCAAAAAAATGTAGGTAGGTCCACACGACTTAGAGTTGCAAATGCAGCCTTGTTTTCTCATCTGCTTCAATTTTCTTCATCCCTTAACCGTCTCAACCTTTTCTGCGGTTAGCAGTTTACTACAGCATTTATTTAGCAAACATAAGAGGTGGGAAGTTACCCGCAATGACAAAAAGGAGTTTAGATCATTTTTAGCAAGAAAAATGTATGTAAGCTAAATTGAGATCAATTTTTGTATGAAAAAAAGTATCTGAGTTCAAAAGAAAAGGTTAAAAATGATTTGGATCAATTCAAAACCAATTTATATCTTAAAATTAAGCTAAACGAACTATCCGAATTGTATTGAATTCATTTTTCACAGTCTTTATTTGTCTTTATTTTTAGGGAGATTAGAACGGACTTTAAATGATTTGATTTATTATATACATTTTAATATACTCCCTACCAACGCTATCAAACTGCCATAGCATCCGGTAGCGTTTTACAAAAACCAAATAGTTTTAAAAAACCAAAATTCACTTCAATTTGAAATGATTTAAATCTCTACTTACGCTTTAATAAGACAGATTACATCGCGCAATAAAAATCCAAAATTGGAATTTTGTAAAACCTAACCTAAAATTCACAAAAAATACAGATATCAGCATAATTGATCTCAGGTCATTAATAATTTTTGATTATTTAAAAAACTGTCAATTATGGCTAATAGGTTAAGTTAGCGATTTGTTCATTCAATTAAGTTTGTGTGTCCAGTTTTTAGCTTTGTTAGTTTCGTTCAGATTGATTGACTCAAAAAAACATGTCCAAAAATTAACCTTAACAAAAACTTACTGCTGGAAAAAACCATTCATTCAAAACCATATACTTTTTGTGAGGCACTACCTGAAATTTGTATCAATAAACTAGACCGGACTATTTTTTTTCGCTAAAAAAGTTGGAGAAGGCGTTTGGACAGCATATGTGCGTTTCAGGCCCTGAATTTTTATACCTGCAGCGCAAATGTCTTTATCTATCATGCAATGTCTATCAAGCTATGCTATCGTTTAGCAAAAAAAAAACAATTTTCCAAGTAATTGATTTTTTTTTCACAAAAAAAGATGAGGAAGATGTTTGGACAACAGATAAGTGCGTTTCAAGTCCATTAAAAATTGAAAAATCCGGTCTGATTTTTTTGATAATAACTTGATTTATCACCTTACTTACATCCTTTGGTTTCGAATGAAGCTTAGAAAAACTTTCAGCAGTGGTTACAAATTTTTAATTCAGGCTAATTTGTTGGCAAAATACTTTTCAGTCAAGAATCTGAACGAAATTATTGAAGCTAAAAATAAGACAGACATATAAATAATTGAAAAAAGCAAAAGACTCATTTAAGTTATTAGCCATACTTAACAGTTTCTCAAAACATCAAAGTTTTATCGTTGACCTGAGAACTTTTTGCAAACTTCGAAATTTGAAAAATAGATTCAGTATGAAATTAATTGAAAATGGCCTATTTTGAGAAAAAATGCAATCAAAAACTAACTTTTTGGACAAATTGATATTTCAAAGCTGCCAGAACACTGTAATATATTTTATTCCAAAGAGAATTTGAATTCGAAAATGGCAAAAGGCGAAATGCTTTTTTTTGTTTTTTTTTGTATGTTCTCTATTTTTGCTGCATGTCAATTTAATCGCCTATTTTGATTTGGCATCCTATGTATTATATATATTAAATGAATGACAGAAACACTGTCATATGGCACAATGGTTTCAGCAAAAATTAAGCGCAATGTTTAGGACAGAAAAATCTTCTAATTATGAAATTTTTATTCAGAATCAAATTGACGCTCTAGTTTTTAGGGTATTCTAAAATATGGAAGCAAATATTTTTTTTTGAAAAAAAATCATTTCCATGAACAAAAAGATTTCGATTCAACTTCAAGGCTATACACTATTTTTGTCCAAAAATTATGTGCAAAGATTTATTTCAATCTTAGCTAACTAAGCTCATCAATTTATTTGCATAAAAAACTTACCTTTGTGCCAACTGGTCCCTTCTATGAAACAACCTAATTTACTTCACAGCTTAATGCCAAAATCAGTTTCCAAAAATAAAACGTGAAAGATTTTCAAAATTTTGTCGCATGAATGGCTTGTTCAAAAAAATTTTTACTTTTGACAAACCGACTTGCTTTGAAATGGATTGAAATTTTTTTAAAAAACAATTTCATCGCCATGAAAGCTTGCTAAGAAAAACTTTAACGTTGCACAAATGAATTCGCTCTGTAAAATGCCTCGAAATATTTCAAAAAGTCTTCGATTGAATAGTTTGCATATAATAACTTACCTTTTTTGCGTGTCGATTCGCTCTGTAGTATAGTAGTATAAAATCTTGAATTGTTTCCAAGACTCATCGGTTGAATAGCTTGCCTATAAAAGTTTTAACGAGGTGTTAACGGATTAGTTTTATGAAGTGATTTGAAGGTTTACTTAATCTCCAAAAAATTTTGCAAATCAATTCTTTCTATGAAATATTATGAAATATTTCAAAGTGCCAACAATTGAACAGCTTTCTTAAAATAACTTTTTTTGGCAAACCGATTAACTTTGTAAAATGACTTGAAAGAATTCAAAGTATCATAATTTGAATAGCTCTCTTAGAAAAAGCATAACGTTTTGCACACCAATTTGCTCTCAAAATATTGAAAAGTTTATCTCGTTGAATAGCTTGTTGACTCTAAAATGAAGTGAGGGTTAACATTTATGTTATAGAGATTTGTCAAAAAAAGAAACGAACAAATATAATAAAAAACAGCTAATGACACAATTCAGACAATTTCTTAATGCAAAACCTATGTTTGCAGACAAAAAATACGTCTCTAGGTCTCGTAAGAGTTCAAGCTTGCATGCAAAAATTGCTCAAAGTTGGCAAATTGCTCCTTTTTAATCATTTCTGTCAGTTCAAATTTTTTGCGACTTATCATGAACCGTAAAATAATTCAGCAAACTCGCTGATTTCAATAGGCATATAGATTCCTACTTTGATTCAAAATGCAATAATTGAGCAAACCTAATAGATAAAGCAACTTCTTGCAATAAATCACAACAAAGATAGGACTCACAAACAGACCAACGAATTACAACTCACTCGAAAAAAATAGTTTTATATTAATGCAATTTTGATTACGTTTTTCATCAACCTGTCAATTCTTTGTATATCAAAACTATGACATGCCCGTGAGCCGACAATTTGTCGCAAGCAACAATTGGCCGAAGGCGAAACTTGATCGCTTTCGACAGAGCAGCTTACCACAAAAAATTGAAAATTGTTTGATTTAGTTTTTGGTCTAGCAATGCTAAATCAAAGTATGATTTAACAATGAACATTTGATTTAACAATGCACAGCGACCAAAAGGAACAGACTTGATAAAGTTTCCCCAGAACTACTAAGTGATGAATCTTGATTAAGTTCGTTTTTGACGAATTGTAGCTTTTTATATGTGCGACGAATTGTCGCTTGCTACGAATTGTATCTTGTGACAAGTTGTCGTCATGCCTGACATGCCACATTGATTCTAACACATAGTATGACACAGTCGTTTGATAACCAATGCATGGGCGCCATGCATCTCCATGTTTTACAAGCTGTCTTTTGTCACCAGATCTGTTTAGGTTTCAGCAAGACTTTTTTCAGGTTAGTGAATGTCAACATTTTTCATCTGAACGCATCCAGGACTTCAAAATAATTGTTGACCGAGAGTCTCTGTTGACTGATGGTCTCGGTTGACCGAGGGTTATTGTGGCCGAGGTTAGGTTCATCTACTTTAATTCAGGAAACCCATAAAATTCTACCTTGATGGTTGATGGGATCTAGGGTTTTCGCAAGGGCGATAGGTGGGTTTTTATACAACAGGATATATTTTTCAGAGCTCATTTTGGAAACGCCAGTAAGCGAGTTTTTCGGAAACGATTCTTTTTTTACTTTGTGCACTGCAAGCAAATTTTTGAAAAAAATTTCCAACAATGGCTCAGAGTTCAGGTCACGTTTTGGATAGTTTCAACCAAAAGTTGTTGTTTTTTGGTAGTTGTTTAGGTAGGAAATGAATGAGTATGATTCTCTTGCTGAGTTTGGTCACCATGAAGAGTAGCGTTCAGGTTTGGTGAAAACGATTAAAAAAAGTATCAAGAAAAGTTCGTGTTTGGTCCCCACGTTGTTGATAGTGTGATTGAACTTCTGCCGCTGATAGTTTTTTTCTCAATGTATTACTTCTTTCGTTTAGTTTGCCCTGATAAGTTTTTTTGGATTTAATTTGCTTGTTGTTTGCTTAATTTCACATTTCTCATTCTCAGAAATACAACTTTCAATTTGAACAGATTTTTCTTGTTGTTTTGTGTTTCTCGTGTTGTTTTGTATTATCAATTTTATGCTAGTCCATACAATTCATGCTTTAGAATTTTTATGCTCGTTTAGTCTTATGCTAATCGAGCAGTCATTGGAATATATAACAAAACCGTCTCTTTTTGTTGAAAATTTTCAT